CCAAATGAATTCAAGCATGTTTCCCCATCCATTGCCTCCATTATCTACTAATAACAACTGGGGACATATATTGTATTATAGATGGTCCAGGTTCTAAAATGTGCAAAAAGCATTTCACTTACAGAATAGCAATCTGAAATAACATAATTGTTACATTTGTAAGCACTAGACACTTGAAAGTCTACATTTAAATTAGAAATTCTACTACTCTCATTATCCAGAGAAAAAAAAACTTGCTTTTATTGGTACAGGATAGTTTACCTGAGAAATTCGATGAGGAGACCCTTTGGTACAACAAATCCAGATCTCTAGAATTCAAGCTCTCACAACAGACAGTGTTGGACCAGTGGCAGTGTCTGATTCAGAAAGTCATTCCTTCAAGTCCAACTCTAGACTCCCATCCTTGTAATCCAGATGGATATTTTGGTGTAATACTGCAGGTGCATCGCATTAGCATGGAAGCTGAGTTTTAGGAGAAAAATTGCCACACTTCCTAGTCTCTCAAGTGACTGTAAAAGACTATTTGAAGAGGAGCAGAGAATTTCTTTAGGTAACCCTGCCAATTTATATCTGTCAAACAACACCATCTTACTGTGTCAGATTAGCTAATGTTCAGGAGAATATCCTAGTGATGTAAAAGACACCTTAATGACAGAGTTTTTTGTTTCATTTCATAGTGGAGCATCTAGCTGTGCTTTGAATTCTTTCATTGGTTGTGTGGCTGTCACCTAGGCTGTCACATTATTCAAGATAATTCTCAGCTTTTTAAAAATGTTTCTTTTAGCATCTGCTCTACATTAGACTCCATGTGAAACTGACCAAAGGATACTTTTAAAAGTATCGATTTTCTTTGGCAAATATTTTATTCTTTCAATACATTTCCAATATTTGAACAGTCATCTTTAATGAGGAGTCATGCTGAGGCTAAGATATATCAGCTTTTAGTGAATATTTAATGCTTCTTGCCCTTATTTTGTACCATTTATATAGAGTTACCAAACATATTAGCATCAACGGCTTGTGCTTTGACCTTAGCATGGCCTTTCATGAACCTTCCAACCACTACATTTTGAGGCAGAGGGGGGGAAGTTTCTTGGACTGGAGGCCTGTGTCACAGGGGTTGGTGCTGGGACCTTTGTCATTTGTTATTTACATAAATGATCTGAATGCGAAGGGCAAGGCGTGATTAGTAAGATGATACAAAATTAGGAGGTATCTTTGATAGCGAAGAAGGTTATCAAAAATTACAGAGGGATCTTGATCAGATGGGGAAGTGGGCTGAGGATTGGCAATTCAATACAGATTAGTGTGAAGTGGAAAGTCAAACCAAGGTAAGACTTACACAGTAAATAGTAAGGTCCTGAGGAGTGTTGTGGAACAGAGGGACCTAGGAGTACAAGTACATAGTTCGTTGAAAGCGGCATCACAGGTGGACAGGGTGGTGAAGAAGGCATTTAGCATGCTAGCCTTCATCGGTCGAGGCATTGAGTATAGGAGTTGGGAGGTTATGTTACATTTGTATAAGTCGTTGGTGAGGCCGCACTTGGAGTATTGCATACAGGTTTGGTTACCCTGTAATAGGAAAGACATAGTTAAACTGGAATGTGTGCAAAGAAGATTTACGAGGATGTTGCCAGGACTAGGAGGCTTGAGCTATTGGGACAGGTTGCCCACGATAGGACTTTATTCCTTGGAATGTAGGAGAATGAGGGGTGACCTTATTGAGGTGTATAAAATCATGAGCGGCATAGATAGGATGAATGCATATATTCTTTTTCCTAGGGATGGGGAATTGAAAACTAGAGGGCACAGGTTTAAAGTGAGAGTGGATAGATTTAAGGAGGACCTGAGGGGCAACGTCTTCACGCAGTGAGTGGTGCGTATATGGAAAGTGGTTGAGGCAGGTACAACAGCAAAATTTAAAAACATTTGGATAGGTACATTAATGGGAAGGGTTTAGAGGGATATGGACCAAATGCGAGCAATTGGAACTAGCTGAGTGGGCACCGTGGTCAGCACGTTTGGGCCGTATTACTCTATGACTCTAAGTTGTCAGAGTCTCCACCCAACATCGTCTCGCCTGATTAAATGCCCCCTAGCACCAAAAGTGACACATGGGAAGGCATTAAATTCAGCCCATGGACTGAAGAGTTGATTGATTCAAAGTAGAGAGGTTAAAAGCACCATTCTTGCTCTCTGTTCAATAGTGCTCATCTGTTAACACTTTTCTGAGACAGGAAGTAGAAAGAGGATTGCATTTTTACACATAATTATGGAAGTGTGACAATTGAAATCTGCATTCCATTCAGCTACACTGCATGCCACCATTAATGTAGAAGAGTTGGAATGTGGGACTATTTAAAAGCTAAGAGCATTCCACTGTACATTTTGTTGAGTTACAACACTTTTAGAAGATGCAAAATGTTCTGGATTTATTATATATCTTATTAATAATTGTCATTTTTCCTGTTTCACCATATCTCAGATTGCTATGTTAAAATGATATTTCTACAAGTAGTATCACCCAGTAAGAACCCTTGTACTCCTCTTATCAGGGTGGTTCATTTTTAAAATATGGCCTATGACACAGCCTCAAAGCAAGTACTACAACCATGTGATCAATGTCAGTGAAACTTTCCAATGACATGCCAACTTTATTAATAAAATAAATCGCCTCAAAGTTTATCATGATTCACAAATGTTAATAAATTACAAAAGTCATGAGGCAATGCATTCTGCAACAAGAAATGCTTGGATCTCTCTCACAATGAATGAATGGAACAGAAAACCATTGAGGGATTTCATTAAAATTATTAATGTTCAGTAGGATGTTACAATTTCCTAAATGAATTGAATTAAAACATCTTTTAAAAATTGTTACCAGTTAATTCACCATTAAAGACTGTTTGCTCATACAGAATTTGGGTAATGCCAAGAAAGGACACATTTTATTGAAGATTTTGTTTTGTATTCATCAGGATAATTCCTAAGTATATCAATGTAAAGGAAAACAACATTTTTATACAAAATGACAATAACGTGCTGCTTGGTTGGCACGTGGAAGCTGATTAATAGAAACACTGCCACGGAGAATGCATCAGTTAGTTGAAAACTGCAAGTTAACTTCCCAACTTTGTTTAAATTTTAAACCAGACAGATTGAATCTGATTGGTCAAGACATTGTCATGAGAAATGAATCAGAGAACTACCATCACCTATTTTGTCGTTTTGAAACAAGCCCAGTGTGTGTACATTTCCTTTCAGTCTGTAAAGGACAGGACACTCTGACTTAATATATGCAACTCCCAGTTAAACAAAAATGTGCCATGTTGCAAGATCGACTGAAATCTTAAATTGGCTGTCAGTATAATTCTTGGCACAGTCAGGATTACTTAGCAAATCCAATCACAGAATCACATATAATGTTGGACACAGTGTTTAGCATTTTGCAAGTGCAAACTGGTTGAATATGATCGGTACCTTGTCCCTTGTGAACAGCCGAAAGTGCAAGATTTTTTACACAATCCATCAGTCTTTGGGATATGTGGCCTACATATTCATATTGGCCTGACACTGAAATTCATACACGACACTATTGATTTATGTGATGGTGTATAGGATGGGCGACAGGACTAAAAGTTAATGATGATATTTGACAACTGCATGAGAAGACAGATTGTATAGGATGGGCTGAAGGGCTAAAATTGTTGATGATACTCAACAGGCTGCACGACCTTGAATGAGTCCTGTGAATATTCCCAAACGTGCCGCAGACAGCACAATTAAAAAACTTGTTTTCTGTATGAGTCGGCAGTTTCGTCTATTGTGTCTGCTGTTTTCTGTACTGGTTGTTCGTAATACTATATGAGACAGTGAGAGTTTTGTTCCAAGGCCGCTAGACTTCACCTCAGATTGGGATCATGAACGGTGCCAGGAATGAACCTGAGCCTCCAGACCAGTCATTGAACGAGGGGTCCCCGAAGGGCAGAGGGACATGTGACTTTGTTGATTTTTTTTCTCTCCCATTTATTATTATCATTATAATCATTTATTATTACCTTTGTAATGATTTATTATTACTTAATAAACATTCATATTTAAGCAAATTGCTTTTGTTGATCCTTCTCTTAACTATATTTACCCGAATCTGAAAAGAACCATTTGGATACCCGCTGTGGTCCAAGAAGTGGGATAAATGTCTTTTTGGTTTGAGAGCTGCATGTTGGTGAACATGCTGCTGCTGCAGAGTAGCACAACAAAACAATGCGCTTCACCAGTTGCTCAAAGTTCCAGAGTAACCCGAGCTACACCAGGCACCTTTCAGGACAAAAAGCCCATTCATGAGTTTACATAATATACAGTGAGA